GAAATGTGGGGTTGGGGGAGGTGCCAGCATGTACTGCCTGGAAATGATCAACGCTAGCTGGGAAGGCAGGAATGAGCCAGTGGTACAAAGAGGGAAGAATGCAATAATGGCTTGATAAGGATCAGGGGGTAGCCGTGTTAGTCTGTATCTACAAAAACAACAAGGAGTCTGGTGGCACCTTAAAGACTAACAGATCTGTGTTTTTAAAAACACCATCTTGGTGATATTTTCATGTGACCACAGAATCTTCTACTGTGACTGTTACAAGGTGCCTGGTTGTACAAGGTGACTAACAGATCTGTTAGTCTTTAAGGTGCCACCAGACTCCTTGTTGTTTTTATAATGGCTTGATGTTGACAGCCAGCAAAAATGGGGGTGGGTGTAATTAAATGAGGTAAAAGGCCCTTTCTGAGGCCTGTAACCTTATTACCTGAGACACTTTCAGTTTCTTCTCTCCAAGAGTAGCTGGTGGAGGCAGGAGAGGCCCCAAGGGCTCCTTTTTCAGAGCCCGTGTCCCAGGGGTGTATCTCTCCCTCCCACAAGGCAAACCAGGCTGGAAGACATTAGAAAAGCCTCATGAAGGAACTTGCATACAATGGCATTGTGAGGCCTCTATAGCTCCTATCTGCCTGTAATGAATGGCCAACAAATGACTCCCATTAGAAATGGCTTTCTGTATCAGTTGGCAGTTTATCATCAAGATTAATGTGTAGTTTGCTGTATCATCATTCAGATAAATGAACGTATGGAGCATTAATTGCTAATCGTTTCAGACAGGCTGCCAAGCGTCTTTGAACAGGGTGACTCTTTCAAAAAGGTTAATGTCCTGAGTTGCATTAAATATTGCAGCAATTTCAGTCTAATCGCTGTTGCCTGTTTCAAAGACATGCTTGTTCTTTTCAAACATTGTGTTTACACAAAGCTAGACAAGTGGACGGTCCTATTAATTTCTATTTGTTTCTGGGCTTTGTCTGCCTCTTTAAGCCAAATAAAAGCAGTTGGGTTATCAGCATGCATTAAGAATTGCTGATGTCAGGGTATCCAGAGGAGAGAGTGCTTTTCACAGAGGTACAAGTGGAGCTCAGCACAGGTATAGATAATGCCATACAGTCAAGGTTATTGACTACTGCAGTGGGGAATATTTTGCCCGGTTACTACATGGTTAGGACTACCAATTCCGACTTGAATATCTACTTACCAGAAGTGACTTGTTTTAATATGCAAATCCCTACTATGCATTTATGAGGAACACACAGATTTTTCCACACAGAAGACAATCTCTGCTAGTATGTGTTGATCTGTAAAACATTAAAGTTTGCGATGTATGTTAATGCACAAAAAGTTATTGTTGGCCAGAGTTACATAAAACATTTTTATACCTGCTCGGAGTGTATGGAAGCAAAGAGAGAGACTAGTAACTGTACTGAGTGCACTAATGATTTCTAGACAGCCAGCATGGCACTAAGGGCTTATCTATACTAGAACATTTTTGCTGCTTTAATTATGCTGATATAATTTAAAGGGCATTTGCTGTTTTGTGTGGATGGAGTATAAGGGCAACATATCAGTATAGCTGATTTTGCTTCCCAAAGCAGAAATAAGCTATACCAGTATAAGGTAGCTTTATCCAGTGTAACTGCATCCATACTAGGGCTATCCCAGGACAACTACTGGTAAAAAATCACACCCTTAACCAACATAGTTATGCTGGTGTAACTTCTAGTATAGACCAGGCCTAATAGTGAAATCAGGAATCCGAGCTGAGAGGAGAAGAACCCTGGGCTGCAGGCAGACATCTTGCTTCTTACAAACAGCCCTCGCAACGGCTTTGACTAATCAAGAGCAGTCAGACTCACTTTTGAATATTAGAGACATGAGTAGGAGTAAGACAGAGTGTGTTTTTGTTGTTGTTATACAATCAAACGGAAGCTGGTCTTTGTTTTAGGGTCGTAGGTGTGTTTTGAAAGACTGCTGCAAAATTCTAGCCAACACAGTTCTTCCCCCTGAAACCGTGGTCCCGCCTTTTACAGTCTTTTCAGGCTGCCCAGGTAAAGTCCATTTAATTTTACTTCCAGTATAAATTCAGCTAACTTATATCCTGATATTTAAAAGAAATACAAGACATTGATGTGGAGAAGGCCAGGTAGGCTCCTTGGTTGCACTGTCTTATAGTAAGAGGGGGGAGGGAAGTGCTCAGCTAAATGAAAAGTAACAATTCTAACCAGTGGAACTCACTGTCTCAGGATATTATTGGGACAGGAGCTTAGTATGAGTAAGCATAGCATCTGCACATTCAGTAGCAAGGCTAATACAGCTAGGGCCTGTCAGTCTGATTGCCAGCTCGGACCATTCTTAGTTACAGAATCACTATCCATCAGAGCTCAGAATCAGCAAGGTGGCCTATCAAGCATCCAGCATTCCACAGGCAAGTCTGCTTTGTCATCAAGAAAGAGTCTCCTCTTCTCTCCCATATGCTCTGGATTTGTAGGTGTATCCATAAACACAGCTGGAGAGAATTCTGTTAGACCACTGTGCATGTGCTACATACATGGGCAGATGCTCCAAACTAAAGCCTGTGAATGCTGTTACGGAGCCCACCCCAACAGCACTGCTGACCATACCGGAGGTGTAAATGTTCCAGTCATTTGGAAACAGCTGTGGTGGAAAGGTCAATGTAACCTTTGTTCCCTCGGTTACTAGCCTTTCTTTAGGAAAGAGCTTTCATGACCCTTGTTTATCTAGGGTGGGTGTAAGCCATGAAGGGATCTAGCTGGAGACAGACTGCCTTACTACATCTCATGGGGAAGCCATGCTATTGTGTTGATCTACATGAGAGCAGGGTCCCTGCACAAGCCCATCGGTTGCTGTTTAACCTGCAGTAGATAGAGCATAAATACTAGTGGAGAAGCTGAATAAAACTCTCCCAGGTTTCATTGCTTCCCAAGAGAACACGTGCACTCATGCTCTTCTTGGTTTTTCAGGGCTCTTCTCTGGAGAACTCCCCGAGTGCACCCAAGAGCTGATGATGGATGTTACAAAGAGCTATTACCAGAAGTTCTTGCCACTTACTCAGGTCTAGTAGCCTATTTACTGTGTTTCAGAGAAGTAAAGGCACTACAGGGAGCTTTGGGGAGGGGAGGGATGTTTAGTGAGCTCTGCTGTTTGGAGTGGCATGTCCTCGCTCTGTGCTATTAACACTACAGCTCCAGCAAGCAGAACCTTGTGAAAAGTTGCTGTGTCATGTTTAAACTTTGTATATTTACTCAGATGTATTTCGTTCCATACTGTCTGTGAGGTGCGCCAGTAAATGTGTTGGGGTTGGAGTGCAGTTACAATTCCCGCTAGACTAATGCATCGTGCTGCTGTTGAGAAATGAGGCAGGACCCCACTGTAAATACTTCCTAGCCAAAGTGAATTGCACACATCTGTTCTGTTCAGCCTGACAGTGCGTCTGACTGTTAGAAATAACCTTCGCTCTTGAACAGAGAGGCTGTGTGGCCAACATCCTCATTAAGAGTGACTACCGTAAATACTTACTAAGAGCCAGGATTTTTCTTCATCTCCCCTCTAGCCCATGGACCAAGCTTCTCTCCCACACTAAGAATAGAACATCTTCTGCCTCCCTTAGCTCGCTTCAAAGCTTTCAGTAGCCTAGCTTCCCTGACGCCTATGGGCAGAGTCTGGGCTTTCTCTGCCCTGTCTGAAGGGAAACGTGTCACCATCTGGTTACTTCTAGCAGTAGAGACATTTACCTCCACTAATCCCAAATGCCTTGCAGGGTTAGTTTTCATGGCTGATGCCCATTTTTCTTCTGAGCATCATGCAGCTCAGAGTCAGCTGGGATTATGGAAAGAGGATGCCCTCTGCTGCACTGAATTATCTGGAACCAAAAGTGGGGGAGTGTGGCATTTGTCCAGGGTTGCAGTGCTGCATGGGGCACAGCCTGTTGGCAGCTCTTACTTGTGGTGTAAAACTGTAACATGAAAAAATCAAAAATCCCTAGAAAAAGTAGGGAGTGGCATTTTGGGCACTGTTCAGACGCTGGGTATAATTCTTATGGAGGTAGCCTGTGTGCCTAACTCACATGAGGCTACAAACTCCACACACCTGACTCCTGTAGGGTGGGCCCTGCCAAGGATGAACAGAGTCTCCTTTTGTTAGATTGTATTCAAACTTAACATTACCCCTTCCCTGCTGACCGTGGGGGGCCTCTGTGCGGTCTCCTGCACTGACTGGGGAGCCAGGTGCATGGCAATAGTGTTGTAGGCATGTGGTGGTGAGAATAGCAGCAAAGGGCCTTTAGCTGTTTTGTATCACGTAGGGCTCTGATACACATTAACTAACTAGCAGCTATATAAATACTACCTGTGTTGTAACTACGGTTAATCAAATGTAACACCACTGTCTGGGTTGTTTGTATTTTTTACTGTACATAAATTAAAAGCCTCTTATATGGGTCAAGTGACTTGAAAGTTGTAACTTTCCAAATCCAATTGCTCTGAAAGCAGAGTAAGCTTTCTGCTAAGGGCACTGAGTTCCTGCTGTGTTGATGGACTCATTCCACATTCTATTGTTCAGAGAGAGGCACCTGAGCTATTACCAGGCATTTAGTTTGAGTGCATTAAAGAGCCTCTTGCATCACCAGAAACAGAATAACTTGTGCTGTTGCTGTCTGTTTCACCTGTATACCTAGAAACAGAAAAATAAAATTCTAGGGCCATTGACGGGAAACTGTCCTGAAAAACTCTAATAAACACGTACCGACCTTGCACAAAACTGTCCGCTCAGTTTTAATGTGATAGGCCCCAGCCAAAACATACTACTAGCTCCAGCCAGGTAGAGAACGGAAGGTGGGTATAAACGGTTGCATGAAGGTAAGAACCCTCCAATTTTGCCAAGTACAATTCAGAGGCAGTTAGAGGCAAAGGCATCCTCTAAAAACTGGAATTCCAACCCTAGTGAGGAAAATAGAAAGGAACATAAACTCTGGCAAATCAAGTATAATTAGGCAGGTCAAAAAAGAATTTGAAAAGCAACTAGCAAAAGACTAACAGCAAATTTTTTTAACTATATCAGAAGCAGGAGGCCTGTCAAACAATCAGTGGGGCCACTGGAAGATTGAAGTGCTAAAGGAGCACTCAGGGAAGACAAGGCCAGTGCGGAGAAGCTAAATGAATTCTTTGGATCGGTCTTCACTGCAGAGGATGTGAGGGAGATTCCCACACTTGAGCCATTCCTTTTTAGGTGACAAATCTGAGAAATTTTCCCTGATTGAGGTGTCAGTAGCTGGGTTTTTGGAACAAATTGATTAATTAAACTAATAGGTCACCAGTATCAGATGGTTTTCACCCACGAGTTCTGAAGGAACTCATATGTGAAATTGCAAAACTACTAACACTGGCATGTAACCTATTGCTTCAATCAGCCTCTGTACCAGGTGACTAGAGGAGAACTAATGTGACTCTGATTTTTAAAAAAGGCTTCCGAGATAATCCTGGCAATTGCAGGCTGGGAAACCTGACTTCAGTACCAGGCAAATTGGTTGAAACTCTGGTAAAGAACAGAATTATCAAACACATGGATGGACATGATGTGTTGAGGGGAAAGTCAACACAGCTTTTGTAAAGGGAAATCACGCCTCACCAGTCTACTAGAATTCTTTGAGGTTGTCAACACACATGTGAATAAGAGTGATACAGTGTACATGGATTGTCAGAAAGCCTTTGACAAGGTCCCTCACCAAAAGCTCTTAAGCAAAATGAGCAGTCATGGGATAAGAGGGGAAAGTCGTCTCATGGATCAGTAACTGGTTACAAAATAGGAAACAAAGGGTAGAATAAATGGAGTTTTCAGAATGGAGAGAGGTAAATAGCAGGGTCCCCCAGGGATCTGTACTGGGACCAGTGCTGTTCAACATATTCATAAATAATCTGGCAGAAGGGTTTCAGAGTGGTAGTTGTGTTAGTCTGTATCAGCAGAAGGGGTACACAGCGAGGTGGCAAAGTTTGCAGATGATACAAAATTACTCAAGATAATTAAATCCAAAGCTATGAAGAGTTACAAAGGGATCTCTGAAAATTGGGTTATTGGGCAACAAAATGGCAGGTGAAATTCAGTTTTCAGTGCAAAGTAATGCACATTGGAAAAAAATAATCCCAGCTAGACATACAAAATGATGGGGACTAAATTATCTGTTACCACTCAAGAAAAATGTTGGAGTCCTCATGGTTAGTTCTCTGTAAACATTTGCAGCAGCAGTCAGAATGCTAGGAACCATTAGGAAAGAGATAAAACAGAAATTATATAATCCCACTACATAAATCCATAGTATGTCCACACCTTGAGTACTGTATGCAGTTCTAGTCAACCCATTTCAAAAATGATGTATTAAAATTAGAAAAATGTACAGAAAAGGTCAACAAAAATGATTAGGGGTATGGACCAACTTCCATCGGGGGAGAGATTAAAGAAGACAAGACTTCATCTTAAAGAAAATAAGATGACTGAGGGAGGGATATCATAGAGGTCTATAAATCCTAAATGGTGTGGAGAAAGTGAACAGGGAAGTGTTATTTACCCCTTCACACAACACAAGAACGAGGGGTCACCCACTAAAATTAATAGCAGCAGGTTTAAAACAAACATAAGGAAGTACTACTTCACAGAACACACAGTCAACCTGTGGAACTCATTGCCAGGGGATGTTGTGAAGGCCAAAAGTATAACTGGGTTCAAAAAAGAATTAGAGAAGTCCATGGAGGTTAGGTCCATCAACGGCTGTAGCCAAGATGGTCAGGGATGCAACCCTGTGCTCTAGGTGTCCATAAACCTCCAAACTGGGACTGGACGACAGGGTATGGATCAGTTGATAAATTGCCCTGTTCTGTTCATGCCCTCTGAAGCCCCTGGCACTGGCCACTGTCAGCAGACAGGATACTGGGCTAGATGGACCCATTGGTCTGATGCAATAGGGCTGTTTTTATATTCTTAATCCCTTGGTGTTAATTGAAAAGTCACACTCTTAAGAAAACCAAGTGCAGTGGGAAGCTTTGCCACAAAATGAACCCCACTGACATGCAGTGAGTTTCAAGTTTGAAGAGGTGATGCAGATTGCCCACTTTAGCTTTAATTCCTCCCACCCACCCTTAAAGAGTAGGGAAATAAAGAAGAGCCCTGCTAATAGAAGGGGAGTGACGAGATTGTTTCTGAAACAGGCAGCCAGCCAGCCACAAATGTAGCCCACAGTTATCCTTAATAGGGAGGTGTAGGTTATGGAGACTCCATCTCCCAGCTTGCCGTATTCCAGCTGGAACTGTGGTAGTCCCGTCTCTTAAGAGCTGGGGTGTCTATCCTCATGTGTCATCCTAATTCCAATTTGGTAATTGCATTCTGCCTACATCAATTATCCTTGTAATGTTAGTTGGATACAGCATCCTTTGGTTCTTGTCATACTGAGGTGCACTGTTAAACGGCCATGTTCCACCTGCCCCCACCCTGAGCTGATGGTATTCAGCGACAGGTGAAATGATATCTACAGCTATCTGCAATGGCCCTGCAGCACGAGACTTTCTTACCCTGATTATCATTACTAGAAATGAGAGTCCTGAGGGTACCCAGCCCATTTTAAAATCCAGCCAGTTCCTCTCTCCAGCCCTGAAGTGTGAGCATCCCCCCAACCCTCTGCAGTAGTTCTGTTGTTGCTGCCTCAAGCACTTAGAAATGCCCGTTTTCTTCTGACACTAATTTTCTAGGAGGGTGGGATTCCTTTTCCACCTGCTCCTCAGCCCAACCAATGCTGGCAGGCCCCCTGAGATCTGATTTTACATGAGAGCTAAAATGACACAGGGTTGGTGTAGTGGCTGTTGGATCATAGAATCATAGAATATCAGGGTTGGAAGGGACCTCAGGAGGTCATCTAGTCCAACCCCCTGCTCAAAGCAGGACCAATTCCCAACTAAATCATCCCAGCCAGGGCTTTGTCAAGCCTGACCTTAAAAACTTCTAAGGAAGGAGATTCCACCACCTCCCTAGGTAACCCATTCCAGTGCTTCACCACCCTCCTAGTGAAAAAGTTTTTCCTAATATCCAACCTAAACCTCCCCCACTGCAACTTGAGACCATTACTCCTTGTTCTGTCATCTGGTACCACTGAGAACAGTCTAGATCCATCCTCTTTGGAACCCCCCCCCTCAGGTAGTTGAAAGCAGCTATCAAATCCCCCCTCATTCTTCTCTTCTGCAGACTAAACAATCCCAGTTCCCTCAGCCTCTCCTCGTAAGTCATGTGCTCCAGCCCCCTAATCATTTTTGTTGCCCGCCGCTGATCCTCCAGTGCTGTGGTCCTATTAAGCCCTGTCTACACTGGGCTTTAAAAAGAGAATGCTTTTGGTTTAAACCCATTCCAGGGGTATCTTAATACTTGGTTCTGTATTGGTGAACCAGATCCATTCAGTGGGTGCAACTGTATTTAAGTAGAGTTTAAGACAGGGGTTCTCAAACTGGGGGTCGGGACCCATCAGGGAGTCGCAAGGTTATTACATGGGGGGTCGTGAGCTGTCAACCTCCACTTCAAACCCCGCTTGCCTCCAGCATTTATAATGGTGTTAAATCTATTTAAAAGGGTGTTTAATTTATTAGGGGGGTTGCACTCAGAGGCTTGCAATGTGAAAGGGGTCACCAGTAAAAAAGTTTGAGACCCACTGGTTTAAGAAACCCTGTGAAACTGGGCCTGGAGCCAGATGTCGCTGGAGGCTTAAAGAGCTTTACTGTACATTTCTCCTTTGAGTCACCTTGCCTGGGTTTAGTGTGATGAAAAGGTGACAATGGGCCAGGGCCTGCTGCCTTTTCACCTGAGCAGAGCAAGTATTAAGTCAGATGTTCTTTGCATGGGAGGACATTGTGTCCTGTTGCTAAGTGAGCTTAACCGCTGAAAGGATTTGATCCTCCAGTCTATTCCCCTCATGGCCTCTCCATAGAGAAGCAAGAGCTATGTACTCTGCAGCTGCCATGATACAGGCACGTAGATTGACGCCTGGAAGATCACATGCCCAGACACTTAAACTACTGAGCTTCTTGCATGATCACATGGAGGTTAGACATTGAGTAGCTGCAGTAGCATGTTAAGTCACATTGCAGAGTGGCACCCATGCTACCAACCGTCTCTTTGCTGACTGACCACGGCAGCTCTGTGCTTGGCAAGAAGGGTCCAGCTCTATGCGTGTTACCATGATGTCCACTTCAGAGTTTCAACACCACACAGGGCATTTCACAAGGATTTCTTGATTGGTGACCACACCTGGGCATCGTGAAGTTAGGGAAGGAAGACTAAATAAAGGGGAAAACCCCTTTGGAAGATGGGAGCTACTTTTGGGGGGTGGAATTAAGGGGGTGTAGTCAAAAGCCATTTGGATGAGCTATGGACCTGCCATGCTTCCCCACACACCTGGATGGAGCTGCCTGGTGCTGTGGTGTGTGAGCACAGCTGTTCAGCTTGGGGCCTGCAGTTCCAGGCACGTGTCCGCGTAGAATCCCCTTTTACCATACTGAGCTGCCACACTGCTGCCTCAATGACCATCTGTTTTGTTGTCTTTGTTAAGGTGGCCTCTGCCAGGGCCTAAAGACCAAGTCACCAGCGAAGACCTCACAAACGCAGCCCTGTTAAAATCCCCTAGATCTGGCCCTTTTAACCTCCGTCCTCTGGAGCATCGCTCTGTCTGGGCTCGTCTCTGAACCTCTGCCTGCTGGCTAGCTGCACTGGCTGGAACGATGAAGTGTCCCTAGGTTGGTGCCTGCCACCACTGCCTCCTGGGAGTTGTCGTTTCCTGATGTCTACAATTAGCCTGATACAGTAGAATGAACCACAACTTCCAAGAGGAGGCTTTGCTGCACAGATCTGGAGCAAACGGCCACAGGGGAGCTAGTTGGCTTTGGGGGCAATGGAGACTCCGCTACTGGATTCCTCTGATCAGGAACCTTTTAAAAACATTCTCACTTGCTTAAACAATAAACCAACCCTGCATTCTGCCACCATCCTGCTTTGTGAGCCATGAATGCCCTGCCCTTGACGGGACCGGGCTGCTGGCAGCATTACACCATGCTCGCGTGCTTTGTTTGAAATATAAACAGTGCTCAGAAACGTAACAAAATCAGAGCTTTAGGAAGCTGCCTTCTCCCAGCCTGTGCTTCCAGGATAGCTGGGGTCAGCCACAAAAGAGATTTCACTATCCCGCCAAGCCTCACGAGCACTGTGTAACTGCTGGTTATCATGGGGCCCTGCCACGAGACGGAATGGGCCCCAGGAGCATTGCTGGAGGTCAGACCAGCTCTACAAAGACAGGAGCCCCCAGCCCAGGCTGGGGATTTCTTGGAACTAGGTGAGCCATTGGCTGCAATATTAGTGACCCTGCAGGGCTTAGTGTTGGCTCCTAACATGTGTCCAGCACTCCAGTTCCGGATGAGCCATCAACTCTCAAGTCCCTTCTAGAAAAGCTCTTAATGTCTCTAGCTTGAGGTACCAATTAGCCAGTATTTATTTAAACTTGGCAGCAGCGTCTCCTGGGAGGGGCTGGCTAACTGCTTACAAAGGTGCCTTGTACCAGCTGGGGCCGTGTTTTGAGTCATCCTCACACTCCTGGGGTTAAATGAAGCTGGTTCGGTTAATGGGGAGGGGAAGCCAGGGCAGGGCTATTTGTAAATTAACCTATAAAACACTGACCTGAGCCCTGTTTACAGTTCATGTGAGCTGTTAGCAGTGAGCAGAGCCAAAGGACAGAGTGCCATCCGGCTCCCACACTAATTAAAATACAAAGGAAGGGTGGTTTGTTTGCACATGTTGTTTTTTAAAAAGCTCCGCGGCACGCCTGTTCGGGCCTGGCAGCACCCGGCCGGGAAACACAAACCCTTCAAACTAGAACCCTTCTGAAGGGCTGGCTGGGGTGCCAGATCAGAAAACCCCGCAGTGCCCTTGTTACTAACGGGATCACTGTGAATCTGCTGCGCTCAGGCCGATAAGAGCCACTATCAACCAGGGCAAAATAAACTATTGCAAAACCCAAATGAAAGTTATACTGCGTTGTGTACGTCACTTAGGCAAAGGAAAGCCTCCATCTACCGCCCGATAGCAGGTGCCCTGAGCCTTTCTTGACTCAGCAGAAGTGGGTCCTTCATAGTCTGTGGGAGAGGAAAATAGCAGCATCTCATTGAGAGCGTGTGTTATTTCTCTAGAACCCCTTTTAACGTCACTGGCTTCTGGACCTGAGCTGCCCTCCTCAAATCGGGCCCATCGCCCACTAGTCTGTTCCTGAGGCCAGCGAGCACGTTTCGGATGGGTTGCTGCCCTGTATGCCAGCTGAGCAGGAGCACCAGATGTTCCCCAGCTGCACTGCACACACGAAGCAGGAATCAGGCAGAGGCAGAACAATCCACATGTGAGAGAACACCGCAATGGCCTTATAATGCTAGTTCTACCCAGCCACACCAGGTGGCTTCCAGGGCTGGCTGCGAGTTGGCAAACCGAGCAATTCTGGTCTCGTCTGGAGGTTTCTGCATGCAGAGAACTGGGTTCTCCACCTGAAAACAGGAGCATTTTGAGACCTGGGGAGCGGGGCGAGAGCAGAAAGAATCACAAGTGACCCCTTTAGAACACTGTTCTCTGTGGAAATGCCACAGGGCTCCACCCCAAGCTTAGTCCTGGATCTGCACCCCCCACCACTGCAGGGAGAGCGATTAGACATCCAGGGCACTGGCTGTGGGTGGGACTGCTGGCCCAGATGAATCAGCAGGGCTCCGATAATAATGCCTTTGACCCTGTACTGGGATCCTTCTTTCCTTTGGTTTTATGCAACCTTCCCTTTGTTTTTTGTCCTGCAGCAGCCGGTCGGTGCCCAAGCGCTGCCGCTGCACCTGGTGCAGATTATTTATTAATATTGGTATCACTTTAATCTAGAACACAGATACGGTGGCGCAAAGATTATAGCGCTGTGCACCCAGATAACACACCCTTCCGCCCTGAGTAGCCCGGCAGCTAAATGAGACCAGACCAGCTGGCAGGCAGACAGGAATTCCAGCCAGTGGTTATCTCCAGGCCCAGGGTGAGCCAAAGTCTCCTTCGCCCATCTCATTAGCTACAAGTGCGCCACAGCTTTCTGTCTGAGCCTCTGTCCATCATATCGCACCGGTCCGAGCTGACCTGTTAGCCCTTCAGTGCAGGGATCTGTCTCTATCCCACACAAACATCTTGGTTAACTTGCACGCAAGGCTCCTCACATGCACTTCCTACCAGTGCAGTCATTGAAAGCCCAGGAAATTGACAGCTAAGCCACAATTCCCTTGCCTTGGCTCCTATCCACCCTAATACCCAGCCGCTTCTCCAGCTCCTGACCAACCAACCGAGGGATCCCAGTGCGAATCTCTGCAGCCTGAGCTCTGGGGTCATAGCTGAGGTTTCCGTGATACTGGGGAGGGAGGGAGGGAGCATAAGGGGAAGGAGAAGCAATAGGATCAAAGCTCAGAGCAGTGGAAGCTGCATGTTTCTATTGGATTAAAATTCAAGGAGGAAGAGAGCTACTAAGAGTCGTCCCCCAAGGCCCCAACTCCATTGCTGTGTCCTGAGAAGGGCTGGGAGCTCCACACTAGGCCAGAGTCGTTTTGTTCTTTGCCAATAGCAACGGAGGAATTCAACTATCCCCATATTGACTGGGACATGTCACCTCAGGCCGGGATTCTAGACACCATTAATGGCTGCTTCTTGGAGCAGCCAGTCCTGGAACCCACAAGGGAAGAAGCAATTCTTGATTTAGTCCTCAGTGGCGCACAGGATCTGGTCCAAGAGGTGAATATAGCTCAACCGCTTGGTAATAGTGACCGTAATGTAATGAAACTTAACATCCTTGGAGGGGGGGGAATATCAAAGAAACCCACCACAGTAGCATTTAACTTCAAAAAAGGGAACTACACAAAAATGAGGTGTCTAGTTTAAATGGAAATTAAAAGGAACAGTCAGGAGTGAAAAGCCTGCAGGCTGCTCGGAAACTATTTAAAAACACCATCATAGAGGCGCAAACTAAACGTTTACCACAAATTAAAGAAAACAGCAAGAGGACCAATAAAATGCCACCACGGCTAAAGAGCAAACTGAAAGAGGTGACAAGTTTTAGGTAAGTTCACGGAGAAAACGTCTATCAATGGCTATTAGCCAGGATGGTCAGGGATGCAACCCTATACTTCGGGCGACGGGATGGATCACTGGATGATTACTTGTTCTGTTCATTCCCTGTGAAGCATTGGCCATGGTGAGAAGACAGGACACTGGGCTAGATGGACCATTGGTCTGACCCCTCCTTAGGAGGTGGAATCTCTTCCCCCCCCCCCCGGCTTTTTCTCTTCGGTTTCTCCTATGTCTGCCGTGGGGATGGCAGGGATTTCAAACTAGGCCGTGCCAGGTGACAGATGCTCCTCAGACAGACAGTTGGACACATTGCTCTGATGCAGCCCAAGGCAAAGGCTCCCCTAACCCCTGACTAGGAATTACTGTGGCAGGAGTTTCCGCTCCTCAGGCCCCTGCTCCTGGACTCCCAATCCCCTCTGCTTCTGCATGCCAGGGGAGCCCCGACTCAGTACAGATCAAAGCAAACAATGGCTACCCAACCTGAGCAGCCCTCTGTGCTTCACACAGAGAGAAATTGGTTTGAATTGTAAGGGCCCCATCTGCCCAGCTAAACTGTCCCCTGCCTCCCCCGCCTCCCGGTCAGCTCTGGCAGTGGGGAGGGTCAGCGTCCCCAGGGCCTGGGCTCAAACATGCTGCACAGGGCACAGGGCCCTGGCTGAAACAAAGGCAGGGATCAGTGTTAGTGTCAGGAACCTGGGTCCAGCGCCCTTTGCCTCCAGCCCCCTGGCTGCTTTGGGAGCCACACCCTTGCATCATAAACACCCCCTTCACAGGGGCCTGATCCTGGGGTCACTCTGGCAGTGCAAAGGCTGTAACTTGCTAGCATAAAGCCAGCTGATCTCGCTCCTGCACCAGCAGCCTCCCGGTGAGCAGGCATGCCTGGGAAGGGGGCTCCCTTAGGGGCCATGCACTAGTGCGGTAAGTTAGAGCACCCCCATGGCTGCTGTGACTCACCCCAGAACTGGGCTAGTCCAGAATCAGGGAGCTGTAAGTGCCCCCACTCCCGAGTGGAGCACAGCAGCAGGCGGAATGAGCACTCAGCCGGAAAGCGAATGCTGCCGAGAGCCTGGCAGTTAAATGTAACAACCCCTCCAGTATTCGGGTCCACGGCAATCTCTAGCCTTCTAGCGCCCCCCACCTCGCCCCGCCCCGCCCCGGGGCTGGCAGCAGCACCAGGAAACAGCTTGCCAAGAAAATAAATGTAGAGACCAAGCAACAGGCTCATGTGGCCAGGGGCATTTGGCTTTTTTGCGAGACATCCCGGGAGGGTGTTGTCCTTGTCAAGTTGCCTCCACAGAGCTTCTCCCAGGCCCCTGCAATATTATTCTGGGCAGAAAACAGGTCTGTTCTTCCTTCCCCAAGAACACAGTGTCCTGTCATTTGAGCTGGGGCAGCTGTGCAGTAAAAGCCTCACAGCCCTTCCCAGGGAGGTGTGAGCCCAGCTCCCCAGGGCGCACACCCTGATGGGAGCAGCACAGCTGCCCAGGGGCCAAGACCTGCCATCCTCACAGCACAGCCCCAGTGAAGTCAGGGAAATCTGCCTGAGTCCAGACCTCAGGACTTGGCCTTTGGTCAAGTATTTTCCCTTTGGTGCTGCCACGCTCTGTATTTCAGGTGACAGGGCTCCCAGAGTCCAGGGCTCGGCTTTATATCTTCGTTTCACTATCCCTGATATGAGCAGAGTGTCTGATTTACATTTGAGCGAGAGGAGGCTGGGGCTGGTTTTCCCTGTCGGGGTTAATGCGCCCTGCAGCCCTGGGAACCCTCTGCTAAAGCACAACCGCTCGAGGGGGAAAGCGGTGAGAACCAGCGTGGGCCAAGCTGGGGGAAACGCGGAGAGTAAAACAGAGTAAACGGCAAAACCCAAATCAGAACTTTCCCATTCTCAGGGGGTCTCAGCAACAAAGGGAGGGAGGCAGAAACCAAAGCGCCTGGTTTTAACCTGCCTGTGCCCTTTGGGAGGACGCCTGCCCCTGCCCCTGCCACTCGCACAGGGCCCTTTGGGGGTGAGAATGTCCCGGGTTCCATGTGCCTGGGACAGACCTCGGCTTGCGCTGCCCCGTCCCTCCACCACGCCCGCCGGGGCATTGGCTGCGTCCCCTGCGCTTGGCTCCTGGCTGATGCCCTTTGTTCTTTGTAAAGGAATTAGAGCCACTTTCCAGCCTCTTCACGTGAGCTATTAAATCAGCACCTCTGCTTGCACTACGAGCTGCGGGTTTGAATCCCTGCCCTACTCAAACCTAGCTCAGGGCGACCCATGTGCCTCACGGCTAGCCCGAGAGCTGGCAGGCCCTAGGCACCACGAGGAGAGAAGCTCCGAGGTTGCTGCGAGTCCCTCACTGACCCGTCCCAGCCCCGCTGCCATCTCCCCCAAAGTGCAGCCTCGCAGCCCCGGTCACTGGCAGTGCGGAGCCGTCGCCTGTAGGACTGTCAGCCTAGGGCGGGGGTCTCTGTGCTGCGTCGTTGTGTAGCGCCAGCACATCAGGGCACCGACGCCTGCCGGGGCCTCCAGGAGCTACCACAGTACAAACAAACAAGAACATTTGCTGCCAGGTGCGGCCCATAGGAAGCCCCTTGCAGCTCTCCTGGTTCAGGCTGATGTACGGTCCCTCCTGCTCAGTATGAGCACCCAGTGCCCAGCAGGGGAATGCTGCCCCGGTCGCAGGGAAACACATTCCACAAGAGCAAGGGAACAGCTGAACCAGACCTGGCCATGGCCCTGCCCATCCCTGCGACGGCCAGTGCCGCATGCTCGCCACGGAGAGGCACCCAGCGCACCTGACTGCAAAGAGCTCGGCCCACGGGCAGAGGCCAGAGGAGTCCCGGCAGAGCAGGAAGGGGAGCCAGGGCCCCAGGCACGTCTCCAGG